GTAATGAACGAAGGACATTAGTAAAATGAGAAGACCTGTCCGCCCGTCTTCCCACGTGCGCTCGACATGAATAATGGCGGAGCGAAGTACGGTACAAGAATAACCATCCGGTACGAGAATAACCATCCGGTTCACCCCTCCGGAATACATCATACCGGGTCATGCATAGACACACCGCAAAAGCCATTATCTCCCGGAGTCACGATTCTCTTCCACGTCGGGGTCCAAGAGGGTCACTCTCGACAGATACGGAAGCTCCATTATCTGCAGCCGAATGGAATGTCCCTGTTACATGATTGGGATTAGAGGATTCTTTTGGTTCCGTGAGAAAGGGCACGTCCCGGACGCGTTATCGTCCATGCATGTCATTCCGATCGCCTATTACTGGGCTCGCAAGGAGTGTGCAAGTGGGGTTATCATCGAAGAAGGAAAAAAAAAAGAGAGACGAGACGAGGATGGATGCGTCTCGATGGTCATGCCTTGATTCTCGTCGATGTTCGAGTCCGAACACTGAGGTTTCAACGTAATTAATGCCCCGGAGGCCAGATCACTGGGCCGTAATCCCGTAATCCCGTAATCCCTTCCTGGGAAAACTCCCTCCGAAGTGAGCCTGTTGGATTCCCCACTAAATCCCCCACCGGTAGGATCGGGTCGTCGACATTCGATCGCAGAATTCCCAGCCTTGTTAAGTGGGACTCAAAATGGCGTCGTGGTCGTTTGACATGACCAGCAAGAAATGTTCTCGATTCCGAATCAGCCGAGTCACGAGATGGTCTCTCCCGTGCTCAAGTGAGCGTAACCGCCCTCTCAATATCACGACTTATCGCCATTATCACGAGAACTTTAACAGACGAGCTTCGTAACCGTACACTTTCCTTTTCCCACCGTTCGGGCTCATTCATCATTCGACGGTCGAGTTCTGCGAATTCTTTCCTTTTCCGAGTTCCTTTCATCGCCGTCATTTTTATTTGTCTCATTTTTTACTCCTGCTTATTTATTTTTGCCTCGAGGAAACATTCGGGGAGTCTCCGAAACGTGATGGAAGAGACGGAAGGAGGCGAGTCACTCGCGATGATCATCATCATTACGGTGATGATAGGAGCAAAAAAAAAAACACCAAAAGGTGACAGAGGATCCCCGCAACGACAGGAGGTGTCAAGAAAAGTTCAATCGAGAGAAAGTCAAGCTTTTTTTTCCGACTACATTCCACGTGACGATGATGACTCGAATAATGTAATTCCCTCGTGCAATATCACGATCTCTCCACTTTCATCCTCATTTCGAGAATGATGCCAACTTTTTTTCTTTTCCATTTCCTAACCCTTCACTTTCCCTTCGGAGACTTCAACGCCGGCATCCCAGACAATTCAATGAAAAGCCACAACTGACACCCTTTCCCCTCCCCGCCTCTCTCCCCCCCCCCCTGAATCAACGGATGAAAGAGGTAAGTAGAAGCCCACGTGGAAAGAAATCGGGCAGGGAAATGAAACGAAGACCCTTGTGATGGCCACCACTGAACCGCAACAGGACAAAGGTATGGGAATGAAGACCAACGGCTTGGAAATGAAGACCAGCGGCTTGGAAATAGACCGTGACTTGGACTCCGCCAAGAGGTCAAACAGGATCGGGAATTTCTGTCTCTCTTCGTGATAACATTTGATCAATATCATCATCCCGCGATGAAACTCGAAATTTACGAACTGAAAGAAGTTACCATGAAACCATATATAATAGATGATAAAATATATGATAAACCATGTCATCAACACGGCACGGCATCCACGTAGAAATAATGTCAAGAGGTCGCATAATTGGGATCCGCGTTAAATCACAAATTACAGCTGGTACTTGTATGGTGTTGTGGCCCATCGCGAAGGGGGTCAGGGGGCCAATATTCAAAGATGCCCGCCCAACGAGAGAATGGTCTTATTATTCCTTCTCTCTCTCTCTTTTTTTCTCTCTCTTTACCATTATGTGCTCGAGGGACGGGGAAGGATATGAATTACTCAATTATCATTCCCTTCTATGTGAAAGTGGTACGCGGTGAAATATCTAGTTACGATTGTCCTGTCCATCTTTCAAAACCTGTTAGCCGCTCCCCCGACGGCGACGTCTTGGGGCTGAGATCCAAAACATTCCAAATGAACCTAATAAAAAATGAACCTCATAAAAGTGAACCTAATAAAAAATGAACCTCATAAAAGTGAACCTAATAAAAAATGAACCTCATAAAAATGAACTCATCGGGGTTGGGGACGATCGATCACAAAAATATTTGACGTCGCCTTTACCGAAATCAAAGTGAACGATTGCAAACAGAAAAAGTAATTTCGGCTTCACGACACGAGAAGAAAATGCACTAATCCCCTTTGATTATGATGATCCATGCTCTTAATACTAACCCATCGTTCAATGGGTAATATAAGTCGGGCAGGTGGAAATCGCGAGAAGACAAACAGCTGGAAAGCAGCGGGTCTGCCAAATAATTTCAGATGCGATAGGATCGAGAAAAGTTGTTGGCTTTCCCCCTCGAGCCATTGGACATACCTGGTTTATTGATGAACGTGGTTATAAGTATCTGCGCTAATTAGCAGTCATTAGCGCGCCATTTGTGACCAGCATAAATTCTTTTTTTTACGCGGTAATTTCGGTTCGAAGCGCGGTCGATGTTTCTGGGCCACCCTATATTTTATTTCCTCCGGTATATTTTCCCACGAGATTTTTCCGATACCCGGTACTTGCCAGATTTCCAGCCTTTCTTGGAATTACGAACCCGGAGGGAAAAACACGGCGGTGGGAAGATCACGAAAAGGCTGGAATTGCCGGTTCCACTTCCGGAAGCCCCGGATAGAATTCTTTCCCGCCCCGGAGCCCGAAACCGGAGAGTCCATTTTCGCACAGACCGGGGTAAAGACGGATCGTGTGATAAGGGCGCACTCACGCCATGTAAAAACCGACATGCCCTACAGTTGGATACGACGGTATTTCCCTTCTCTCCCGTCATGCTGGGCCCTATCTAAAGTAAGATGGCCCGAGGGCGAGAGCCCTTCATTATTTATTTTCCCCCCCTGTCTGTCTGTGTCTGTCTGCCTGTGTCTGTCTCCCTGGTCCACTGACCCCCTTCCGAAAGAAAAGGAAAAAAAAAAGGCCCCTCCATCCATATGAATCAAAGTTCTCTCCTCCGCGAAGGTATTCCGCACTTGCACGCAACACCCAAGGGAGGAGTCGACTCACTAGCGTCGACCCGAACAAAAAAAAGGACGACCCCTGGAGGTGTATTTATCGCAACCTCAAATTCTAAAGGATTCTCTCGGCTCGGAATTTTTAGCCTCTCGAGAGCCATACGTCTCTCGCCGCAATAAATTCGCACGCGTAAAAACAGCGACTGCCCTGCCCCCCGCGGGGGGTCCTGGAATTAACTCCCTCTGCTAGGGTTTGGTGGACTCGAGGCGGAAATGGTAATACTTGACAATGAAAACAGCTTTGCTGGTGGTCTGAAGGAAGTGGAAAGAGTTCAAGGGTCATTCCCGGCCCTTGATTCCAAAAGACCGGATTTTTTTCCCTTTTTTTTCTCCCTCCTGTCAGCTAATTAGCGAAAAGGAAGGTCGTTGGCCTGGGAGTCATTAGTCCATCGAAAAGAAAGCTTTCCCCGGAATTCGATGATGATGAGGGGGTCATCGATGAAGATTCTGATATCCCATCATGCATAGCACCGGGAGGCATTCATTAAGGTTGCATTACGGCAGGCTCGACGTGATGGAAGGCTCATCGATCACGAATGGGAATGTTGGTCACGGTTCCCTCATGGTTCCCTCATGGTTCCTTCTCGGATCCCTCTCGGTTCCCCCTCGGATCGGAAGAACGTAAGAGGAATCGGACGGACGTTACCATTAAGGATTCATTCAGTGGATTTTGACCCCATCTGATGTATGATTGATAGCGAAAACAAACAATAACATAGAAATTAATTAATTAATTAATATAAATATAAGTGTGATTTTATGTTCGTTAGACCGAACTGCCAATAGCTACGTGGACTTCAAAGGAGAAATATCAGGAATTCACAGCGTTCCTGTTAAAGCTCTTGGTGAGGCCTTCCCCAAATAAGCAGGATTTTTACTCGAAAGCCTTAACAGCGTCCGGTGTTCACACGTGCTTGCTATGCTATTCAGGTGATAGAACTTCCAGCTTTCGTCACGGGAACCAGCGAGGCCGTACCGTCACGGTCCTCGGGGGTTAAAGGGGGGGGGGGGGGCAGGAGACATGCATGACCAAAATGGTCAGCATTTCGACATTTACCCAGGCCGTACTTGGAGCCGCACACTTCATTGAACTTTCGGGCTAATTTGTCACATTGGTACTGCTCGCTCTTTTGTTCTTGTCGACCGCGGCAGAACGGAAGAAACTGGCGCAGATCTCAATCAGGGCATCGGTCTTTTTCCACGTTCAAGGTTCCCGCAAACCCTTTCGCTCACCGATTCGTTTCTCTCGGTCCTTTAAGTGGAAAACGTTTAATTGTCTCGCGCAGGAGCGAAATCAGCGACTAATTTCGCTGTTTGTTGTCAGGACGATATAAACTCTAATTGGACAATTAATTCTTTGTCATGCCAATTAACAAAATCTGGGCAGGGCTCCTGCTTCAGAAAAAGTGCATCATTAATGAATTCACGAGTAAAATAAGTGCAAAATAGGTAAAGGTTATCGCTGATTTTTCACTTTCGAGGAGGAAAAATATTTCTACGTCTTCGCCGTCATGCTGTTGACCACATTGCCGAGTCCTGTTGCAAAACTGGTTAACCCGGGCGAAGGATAATCGAGCAAGCGGGTTTCGAGCAGTGATTTAAGGATGAAGCAAGACCAGAAAGCCGAATTTTAAATAGCTAATTTAATAGTTGTGGGACCGGATTGAATATTCATTTTTTCCTTCGAAACTGGTGCGAGCGGAATGGATCCTGGCAGATTTTTCTGCATGCCAAACCGAATTTTCGCAACAAAAAAAATCAGCGAAACTCACCTTCAGCCTTCGGCGTCGGCCGTTGCTCGGGCGGTTTGTCTCCGCGAGCCTTTTTCCTCTCTTCGTATTTCTTGCGGCTGGCTTCCGCTTCCTGCTTCGACTCGCCGTCTTCCTCTCGGTCTTCCTCTCGGTCTTCCTCGAGGGCCAGGCGCATGCTGAGGGAGTGGGCCTCGGTGCTCTTGATCCAGGTGTCGATGTACTTCATCCGGACCGTCTGGGTTTCGATGATCCGCCGGCGTTCGATCTCGATGTCTTTCAGCGTCAGGCTCCCGTCCTTCGCGGCCGCTTCGGGGGTTTCCGACGCGGGGGTTTCCGCGGTTTCGCGGACGTCAGCGGTTTTTTCGCCTTCGGTCGACTTCGCGACTCGTTCGATCTTGGGCTCGATGTCGGATTCTAATTTCTGCTTTTCTACTTCTTCCTTCTTTGGGTTTTCGGGTGCGATCGGGGATTCTCCAGACGCGCAAGGCCGATCTCGGCTCTCGGAATCTTCGGACGGATTTTCGCGGACCGAGAATTCGCTCGTCTCGGGCTCGTCTCGACGGTTCTCGACGGAATTCCCTTCGTCTCCCGTCGCTCGAGCCGCCTCGTCGATGTCCACGTAATCGCCGTCATCGCGCCCGGTCAGGTTCACGTAATCCCCCGCGTCCTCTTTCGGAAAGTTGACATAATCGTGATTGTTGTTGAGGTCCGCGCCGCACAGCCTCAGCGTCTCCGCCACGGACTCGCGAACTTCCGCCGTGAAATTGACGTAATCGTCGTTCCCGTCCAGGCTCTCCCCCACCTTGCCCGGCACGTTCACGTAGTCGCGGTCGTCCCGGGACGGAAGATTCACGTAATCGTGAAACGGACCCGGGCCTCCCTCTTCCGGGATGTTCACGTAGTCGTGACATCCCTTCAGATCGATCTCCGCGTAACTGACCAGCGAACAGGGCTGGGAGTCCGGAGTAACCTGCACGCAGGAAGCGGTATAGATCCCGTCCACCAGACTCACCTGAGGGGGGGAAAAAGAAATCGGAATGTCACTTTTACCATCGAGTTTCTCGTGTGATCCTATCCGTTTGAAATTAGATCATTAATGGAACTACTAATTAATTTTTCTTTAATTCCATCAGTCTTTGGATGAAGCCTCTGATATATGTACTCACACGAGGGAAAGGACACACAGTTTTCTTGATTCAAGGAAGAAAATGTTCCTAAATGGCTATGAAGTCCTCAAAAAAGGGACGAAACCGTTCAAGGTCCAAGGTCCAAGGTTCAGGGTTCCCATCGAGATGCGAAGAGTCATCCCCGCCCATATTGACATTCCGAGTCGAGGTCGAGTGCTCGTCCCTACCCAGCATTCCCTCTTTTCGTGAATACTTCCCATCTGGTTGCTCATTTTTTTTTTATGTCGCCCACGAAGACTTGGAAACAATTTTTAGGTCATTCGCGTGGGAGGAAAGCGACGTCGGCTGACGCATTCCACGTATTTACCGACCGGCTAGCAAAAAGTCGCTCTGCCACTCGAGCCGGTTGCGCAATTTCAACTCGCTCTCACCTGTTCTGCAGTGCCCAATTAGGAACACCTTCATCTTGTGAAAGCCCTCGGAGATCCAATAAAAAATAGAGATCCGATCGAAGATACAGACACCGGACTCGATTCTACAGATACTTTTGCGCTTCGACTCCCAAGGTCGTCTGTCGCAGTCGACGAAGAAATCATGGGAAAAATATGAAGGTTGGCGGGAGGAAATGGTAAATGGGGATCAAATTGAGCGAAACATGGGAAGGGAAGTACTTCTGCAATATTTCTCATCACAGTATCCTACATACGTTCCTTTTTTTACTAAAAAATAGTGGAAAGCAAACCGAACCGACTCGTTGCGCATACGAAATGAGATTTTCAATATTTGTTTCCTGGAGGCTTACATGGTATTTGAAGGAGTGAGTCTCATTTCCGGCCATTCTCATTTTGTCAGACTGATAACTATTACACACATTCACTCTAAAAAAATTTGCATAAAGCGACTCGGACCGGCAAGGTCCTGGCATTCGTCGCGCTTAGCTTATTCCGTTCGTCGCGAGAGACTAGATTACTCGAAATCTGCAAAAAAAAATTCGGCAGACTCACCGAAGGTTCGACGGAAACCAGGGTGACCTCGTGGCCCTCGGGTTCGCCGGGTTCGTCGTGGATCTCGATGATGGTCTTCCCGTCTCGGACGATCCCTTCCGACCTTTCCATCTGGACGGACAGGCTCACTTTATCGGTCTCTCGAATGATGCCGACCGGTTCTCGATCTCGGCCCTCGATGACGCAATCCTTCGATTCCAGCGGCGGAACGAGAAGCTCCGGAGGCGGGGGAGGGAGGTCGTCCGGGTCCATCCGGTCGTCTTCGGGGTCCATCCCGTCGTCTTCGGGGACCGGCGAGAGCTTCTCCGGCGGGGTCAACGATGACGTCACCGAACTGGAAGGATCCGTTTCCACGTGGAGGAAATCGCCGATTTCTTCACCTGGCTTCGCGGCTTCACCCGGCTTCGGGGCTTCACCCGGCTTCGGGGGGACTTTGGGCTTCACGGCCCTCCGGATCAGGCCGTCCACTTCGACCAACTGTTTCTCCGAATACTCTATGTTCTCGTAGAGGGGTTCATCCTCGCACACGTTCTCGTTCTCGTAGATCGGTTCCTCTTCGTCCGAGAAGTCGTCGAACACCGTGGACCCGTCCGAGTCCGGGATCTCCTTCGCAACGAGTCTGCCCTGATGCTTCGACAGGGTCTCGTAGAGGGGGCTGCCGTTGGAATGATCCTCTTCCTTCACGCTGTAATAGTCCTCTTCGGTCGACGAAGACGATCGGGAGTCGGGTGGGATCACCTCGGGTTTCGGGTCCGGCAGAGCCTTCTTCTTGTTCCTCGAGAGGAGGAATTGCCTGATCGCAGACTGAAGCTCTTCCTTGAACTGGTCCCTCAACTCGTATTCGGGCCGTTTCGTTTCCCCCTTGGCGATGACGGCGATGGCGTCACAGCTCGCACTCTCGGACAGCGGCGTGTGCCCCTGCCCCGATTCCTCGGGGTCCTTCGCTTTGTCTCCGTCCTGCGAGCCTTTCCCGAAGGAGGAGAAGCTCAGGTTCTTCTCCGGGAGGGGAGGTGGGGGCGGGGCGAAGCTCACTTCGAAGGCTTCCGAGGATTCTCCCTCCGACTCGGTGGACTGGGACTGTAGGGGGTTGTAGAACTCCGACACCGACGACTTCTCCTCGCTTCCTCCCTGGAGACGGAGAAAATTTTTTTTTTTGAGAAAAGGGACAATGGGTTGTGATTGATGATGTCGGGTGTTGAACTCGTCGCGGGGCCGAGAATCTCGAGTCCAATTATCTTTTCTCTCACGTTATTTATGGTGGAAGGCAGGAAGCACGGGTCGACTCGACGATTATTGGGATTACGCCTGGGATCGCATCCCTGGATCCATTAATCTATTAATCCTTGACTCCGAGTCGAGCTAACCGACTGGGGGGGAAGCGGAATTAAAAAGGCGTAACGAGACCGAAAGTCCCGATAAAAGAGGACAGGAATTAAACTTTCTTATCCATAAAAAAATAAAAATAAAAATGCAAAGATACAATTAACCCCATAGACTAAGTAGCGTGAAATAGAAACGGTCCGGAAATAGGCCTGAGCAAATTAAGCCTCCAGGGTGAGTGCCAAAGAAAAAAAAAGGAGAGTAAAAAAAAAATTAGGGGGGGGGGGGGGNNCCCCCCCCCCCCCCCCCCCCCCCGAGTGGGAGATAATTAAACGCGACTGTTGATTCAACAATGGAAACGGGTTTTCTTTCGAGAAAACAACGTGATATCCTGTCGATTGAATCGATTCGGACTTTCTCCTCTCAACTTCCCGGGGGTCCCCCCGAAAGCCCGCGTAACGAGGCATGTAACGCATAACGAAGTACTCCTCGGTCCCGTCAGGCTCCTCCGTCGGGGTCGAAAAAGAAAGGAAGCGAGTCGTTAGCCCAGATTTTCGAACCGCTCCCTCCAACCCAGAAAAAGACCTAGCCCAAGGCCCGACGCGAGGGGCTTTAAATTCCTCACGACCGGAATGTCGAAATGGACGGGTGGCCGGGATCCGGACGGCGAAAGCGGGCGATCGATCGCACGAGATTTATACGGTAACCATGGGAGAGATTTCCGAAATTATGGGGTGAGGACTTTCAAAATGAGTTCGAGTAGTTTGAACTAAATTTCGGAGAATTCGAGGGGAAAGGATTCAATTTAAGAAATTACGATGGGAGATAAATTTAATTAGTTTTAATTTTAAATGTTTTTAAAAATCTTGAAATTAATGTGAGACATGGACTGCTTTTTCCAGATGCAATTTCAAATTTCAACTCATCTTCCATTGAGATCTGCGATCGGATATAAAACTATTATGAATATTTTCGAGGGCGATTTTGTTTTGTGCGAACGGACATGACAAATATTTTTTGAACGGGACTATCAGTTGATGTCGTCTCGGCCCAATCTATTAGCAGCGTATAATCAGAAGTTCCAGGCCGGTCATGCCCTCGTCATGGCGACCCTCTGATCCCTGACATCATCAGATATGAGATAATTAGACATAATAGTCGCCCGGAAGAGAGGGATTCCCATGCATGCCGAGCGGAATTTTAAAGCCCCGAACCGGCATTTATATTAAATTAAATTATGTTTCGCGTGGTGCAACGAAGGGACGCTGCTAAAATTCGTTTTGTGATGTTTCGAGCGTGAAACCGGATTATCGCAATCGGCGACGCGTTCATCAAAATTGCGAGAAACTGCATAAACGCGTGAGAAACGCAGTCGAAATCGCGTCCGCGAACAGAGAAAACAAGGTAAAATGAACGCAATTACTGCGTGGGACTGCGATCGCCGGTCCTTTCACAAAGTACCAGTACCGATCACCAAGTACAGGTACCGCACTGCGGGTGACAGTATATGCCTATGAAGCACCCGATCCAGAGAATTGAAATCCATGAAGACGGATGAAGGGAAACGATCTGGCCTTAATCGTTCCTTCGACCGATGAAGCGAAAGTAGGCGAACGCCAAAATCCATTCATTGTTACGCCCCTCCCCCTCCCCCCGTCCGCCC